AAGTCGTAAGTGGGGCATGACTTTTCAACCCAAAAACTATGTCGAAATTTTGCTCTCTGCGCGTGCCCGAGATTTTCAGGCCGCCATTTTGCATTTGGATCAAAAGGCCGTCGAGTGCACGAGCTGTCAAGGGGTTTTTGGTAAGTTTGAGCTTTTAAAACCACAACAGTGACCCGAAATCTGCTCGACTAGCTTCAAAACACAGTTTTCCACAAAAGCTGGAGCCATTAATGGGTTAATCATTGCTGTTTTGCATCTGTCATAGGGCTCCCTGGAAGCTCTTAACTTTCTTCTTAAACAAGGTCACCAACCACAGCGAAGCTTTTTCTTAGCTTTTGGTCATGATGAAGAGGTGAGTTGGTGTTGTAAAATTTATTCTGTTCATATTTTTGTTCATATTTTTGTTCATATTTTGTCTTAAAAAACTTAAATGGATGTATGATCTATGGCAGTGGAATTGAATTATGCTTGCATAGTGCCCATGACATGTTTCATGCTCCCACAGAAAATTTTAGAATTTGAAACTCTCTGAGATGTGATTTCTAGCATTCTAGGACACATTTGAGTAACTCTTTTTAGCCAGACATGGTTGATAGAGTCAGTTCCAAAAAAATATTTTCTATCTTGATCACAATTCCCAAAGTAGCTGGCTCAGAAAGGTCTGACAGCCACCTACAGGGTTCTAATGACAACCCAGTTTCCTTGAGGCTCTTTAATTTCTTGAGGCACTCACTCATGTCGGGGTAGTTCACACATAATATTTTATTGTTTTATGTCTTGTTACATGGTAAATTTTATTTTATTTTATGTCAGTCATGTTCATTGTGTAGTGTGATGTCACATGTGATAGACCAGGGATTTCATTAATTTTGGAAGTAGGCATATATTAGGACATAAGTAGGCAGAAAACAGTTCAGCAGTAATTGAGGTAGATTTGTCACCAGTGTTTCTCTTTTGTCAATTCAACACGGTGCACAGTGAACCAATCAAGTTGATCAAATTGTTAGAACTCGTTATGAAAATCACCCAACAACCAAAAAGGAGTCAAAATATCAACAAAAAACACCTTTATTCAGGGCTCAACACTGAACTTATCAACTTACTAGCCAAGTGGCTGGTGACATCTTAGATGCTACGACAATGTCAGTTTGTTTTCTAGCCAAACCGGCTAGTGGAAACTGAAAACCATTAGCCAAAACTGAATTTCTACTAGTCTGTGGCTAGTGGGCTACCGTTAGAGCCAGCCCTGTTTATTGATGACTGCCTTTAGAATATATTGAATGTTTTCCAAAAAACATGCAAAAACCAGGAGGTGGAATGGCCAGAGTAGGCAGCTCTGTTGTGGAGAGTAGCCGCCTGAATTTGCTGTTTGCTGGCTTCTGATGAAATCCCTGGATGTCAGTATAATCGTGTTCCATCAGTATGGTGGCATATTGTGTATTGATGTCACATTTCATGTAAAAATATCACGTATCTTGTGATAAGTCATGTTGTGAGGTGCAATGTCAGGTTAGGTCATTGCATGTCACTTGTGGCATGTTATCTCCTCTCTTGTCAGGTAATGTTGCAAATTGTTATGTCACACTCATCTCGTGTCACGCCATGCTTAGTTTGTGACACGGCAGTAAGTCATATTAACTCATTTGTAGATTATGAACCATGTCTCCTACCCCTTTTAAAGGGTTTTTTCATCCCACACACACACACACACACACACACACACACCCCTCCCCTCCCCCTCCCAGCCCCATTTAGGGTGAGACAGAGAGAAGCCTCCGGGTTAGCTCAATTGGTAGAGAACCAGACTGTTGTGCGGGAGGTCGCGAGTTCAAATCGGTTAGGTGTCAATTGGAACGAAAGTTCTGTTCCTTTTTCCTGCCATTCCTGTGGCAAATTAGTTAAACTTAAACTTAAACCTAAGTGGTGGGGAGTAGCAGGAAAAAGAGAGAGCCTGGTAACGATGTTGCCATCTTTTTGTTCACTGATGTGGATAGATGAATTTTCAAAAAGGTCCTAGGAATTGACGGAGCAAAGCAAATTGCAGTGTACTTGAGATCTCAAGGAGTGAAGCTGGAATTTTTAGTCGATGAGGGAACAGTCATTGTTAAAGATGCTCTTCCAGGGCTAAAGATGCCATATGCTTTGTGAGTAACACAAATAACAATGAATGTCTCAACTCTGTGTGTGATAGCTTTAAAATAGTTACGTTGGAAGGCATTCCCCCTTAGGTTGAAGTGAAAGTTGAATTATTTGTCAATGATTTTGTGGCTATGCAATGGATATCATCTTTTTTGGTTTTAAAGGGGAGCCATGCCCGAGTGGAGTACTGGGGCGAGAAAAGCTGGGTTGTGGGGGTGAGAAGGGCAGGGTGGGGGGAAGGGGGCTTCTTAAGGGGGGAACGGTCATTCCTTTGCACCGCTCACGAGCATGTTATTAGCTGTAACTGGGTTTATTTTGCCTTTCTCCGTACAGCATCAATACAATATCACGTAGACAAGTGATGAAAATGAAGAAAAATAATGATTTTTTTTTTTTAGGGGGTCTTTAGTTGACCTAATACTAAATTCTCTGAACTTACATCAAACCAATTATTGTATGGCAGATTGTAAGTAGAGTTACTAATGTGGTAACAAAATATAAAGGATCTGTGACTGGTATGTTACTTTGAAATTAGGATTGGAGTAGCAGAGAAAGGTTACATTATGGCGGAACTGAGTGTGCAAACTTCAGCTGGCCACTCGTCAATGCCACCCAGACAGACCAGTATTGGAATCCTCTCTAATGCTGTTGTAAAGTAAGTCAAAGTAAGGTGGCGTTATCAAATCGAGAAAATTCTGTTTACAGAGTGTTTCATTTACTTATTTAAATATTTTTTGTTTGTTTGTTTGCACGCTGGCTCGTTTGCTCTTCGATTCGGCTCGTTTCTTTTTCGTCGACATTCGTTTGTTCATTCTTTCTTTACCTCAGCTCGCTTGTACATTCGTTCCCATGTTCGTTCGTTCGTTTATTTGTTTGCTAAGGTAGCTCTTTATTTCTTCCGTTCATTCGTTCATTCATTTATTTATTCGCTCGCTCGTGCGTCGTTCGTTCGTTGCTTTCGTACGCTTTCTTTCGCCCGTCTGTTAGTTCGTCAGCACACGGCCTTTCGTTCGTTCGTTTGTCAGCACAGTCGTTCGTTCGTCAGCACGATCTTTCCTTCGTTCGTTCGTTTCATTCATTTGTTTATTCGATCTATCTGTCCTAATATTTCCATTCGTTAGTTCCTTGGTACTTCATTCTTCCCTGTCGCCTCTATATTTGCCGATTTTGATTGTCATACCCTTCGTACCAATTCCATCCCATTCATTTGTTTTTCATAGACTAGAAGCCTGTCCCATGCCTGCTGTATTCGATTCATCTGGCCCAGTCAGGGAAATGTTTGAAAATTTTACCCCTCAGGTAAAGCTTATTGGGAGGCGTAATATAGCACAGATAGCCCAAACTCTAGCCTACGTAGAGACGTACCCTCCCCCCGAGGGTTAGGGTTGCTTTGTAGGGGAGGGTACGACAACACGCAGGTTACCCAAGCTCAAAATGCTCGGGATTTCAGTTGGGAAAAAAAATACCTAACCTCGCTACAGTAGCGCGTTTCTTTGCCTCCAGGGTAGTTTTGTCCTCGATTCATGGCGATGTAGGAGCGGGGAATCTTATAGGAAAAAAAAAAAAAACTAAATCGCTACGATTGATTTGAAAACTTCATTGGTGACAGAGAAACCCTGTACCGAAGGGATGTCAGCTTTATTCTTTAGTTAAGAATTCCATACATTTTTTGTTTATAGGTGAAACCGTTCTCTCCGCACAAATCCTTGTATTTCCCTCTATTGCATAATTAACAAGTATTACAGAGGTACTAAAATGACAACGTTGGGTTATCTGTGAATATAAATGTGTGTGGAAGTTATATTTTCCGTGAGAAACAAACAAAAGCTTTGAGCTTTATACGGCAGAAGCTCTTACAAGCACTCCACTGATAAGCTTGTTGTATTATACTTCAAGTTCCTAATACGCTTTTCTTAGGTTCCAGTCTATCTGAGGCCTATCATAGCAAATCTGTGGCTTTTCAGTCCAATTGTTGTCAGGTATGTTACATATTAAGTAATAATAAATGAATAACAGTTTCCAAATACTTAGTTCTGGGACAATTTGTTGTGATGAAGACACAGCCGATCTCCAAGAGGACTTGTATAGATTAGAAGACTGGCAACAAACGTGGGGGATGGAATTTAATCCTTCAAAGTGTAAGATCATGTGTTTTACAACCAAGAGAGATCCACCAAAGCGAGAATACGTATTCTGTGGACAAATCCTAGAAGCGGAATCTCACCCTTATCTGGGGGTAATGCTCGATAACAAAATGAGGTGGTCACCACACATTGAAACAATCACATCTAGGGCAAATAAGGTCCTGGGACTTTTCAAGCGAAACCTGTGGAATTGTCCAAAGTCAGTGAAAGAAACCGTGTATATGACACTTGTGAGGCCAAAACTCCAGTATGCCTGTAGCGCATGGGACCCACATTACCAGAAAGATAGAGCCGCTCTAGAAAGGGTACAGCGGAAAGCAGCCCGCTTTGTCACTGGAAATTACGATCGAACAACGAGCGTGACGGAAATGCTGCAAGACCTACAGTGGGACACACTTGAAACAATGAGAAGNCGCACCATGTATTTGTTCGCCAAGTACGTCACTTGCATCACATTACTTCCGCTTAGAGTCACTTCGTCGCTGTAGATGAAGCGAAAAAACTCCAAGAGACCCTCGTAATCACAATCAGGCAGTTCAATAGAGTCTTTAGTCTCCGCCATTTGACCATAGAACATGGCAAAGAACACAGGACTACTGATTGCGAGCACAAACTTGTGAGCTGGGATCACTTTCGTACTTTCACTTTCTCCAAACGACACGGGAACAACAAATTTCACGTCGCTAAGCAGCTCGTTTTTAAAAATAAAGGCGGTTCTCTCGATGAGAGTTGAAAGTTTTGTCTGCCAGTTTTCTTCAGCAGCCATCGCTATGTTCCAGCGTCGGTATTCCCCGCAGTTTTTTTTCCCTCACAGTGAGCAACGACTCGATGGTAGTAGTTTGCTTCAGCCTCTCTAGAATAGAACCGCTGAACTCACTGCAGACTCCTGCGGTCACGCAACAGGCTACAATGTAATCTATTTTGGGTATAAACGGATACGAAATACTCACGGTTATAAGCTGGGACATCTAATATGCTGAATATCTGAAACAGCTGGAGTTCTGCAAAAAAGGGTTTCCTCGGTATGAAATAAATCCCTTTGTCCACTGGTATTACACATAACTCTTTAGTTCACTGAATTTGATATTTAGTTCTTATTAACCGAGCGGGAGGTCTATGGGGGAATCTTGACCGAGGTCTCCAGTACCGACCGAACGCAGTGAGGTCTGTACCAGCGGCCGAGGTCAAGATTCTCCCATACAGACCGACCTAGCTCGGTTAATAAGATGTTTATCATATGGCTGTCTTCGATGCCAATTCTTTATATTCTTTGTACCTTTTTTTTCTAGACCAGTCTAGATGAAAAAATCTAGACCGCTTTTAATATTAATTTCAGCCAATCAAATTTGTGAATTCGGTAGTTCCCAGTCCTTGAGAGACAGCCATAAAATAAAGAAAATACTAATCGACTGGCCACGAGCGCGGGTCAGAGGAAAACTCTGAGCAGCCACGCGTAATTGAACCCTAGATTTGCCGTTTGCGGAATCCGCGTTCCTTCGCTTTACTACTTAGCCACGGAGAATTTTGTGGTGCGCATAAGCCACTTTTAGGTCCATAAGTGACACGTTAGTGACGGATCTAGGGGAGGGGGCCCCCCCTTATTTTGGGTAAGAAAAATATACGCAGAAGGAAGAAAAGCCCCGACGTGTACACACAAAAAAACCGCCTTCCCCTACAGGAGACCTGCTCACCGTACGTTTTCTCACCTGACATTTACGGCCTATTTTAATGTAAAAGTTGACCTTTTTGTTTTAAGAATCCTTGAGAAGAAACCAGCAACAAATGCTTTCCTTCGGACAACAACCGCTGTAACTCAGTTCAACGCAGGAGTCAAGGTTTGTTATAAAATAATTTTGTTTCTATTCGTTCTATATGATGAAAAAAAAAATTTATTGCGATGTCAATTATGCGTTAGTCCTCCGACAGGTCACGTACAAGAACCAATCGAAATGTGGGCATAGAAGGAAAAATAAGCAATGTAGGCATTGCACAGAGAAAAGTATGATATTGATATAATTTTTCTTTCATTCTTTCCATTATTTCACCACCACACAGGCAAACGTGATACCTTCTTCTGCAAGAGTTACTGTAAACCATCGGATTCATCCGAGTAACACAATTGAAGAGGTGAGGACATATCGCTCTACTTTTTTGCAGCAATCTGTTTTGGTTTTGCTTTGCTCGCCCCGTGATTGGTGTGGAAAACGTGCTCCACTCTCTTAGGCAAAAAAAGATCAAAGAAAGATCTAAACTTTACACGGAAAAAGTGAATGGAATCTTGTTCTCTTGCGTAGGTTCTGGAGCATGACCGTCGCTGTATTAACGATGATCGTGTAAATATTCGTGTGGTGCAGTCAGAAAAGCCCTCACCCCTCTCTAGCTGGGATAAACATTCATTTGGATTCCAGGTATGATTTTCAAAAAAACAGTGGATTATTGCCAGAAATTCTTGTAAATAGGGGTCGTGGCAGCGGTGGTGGTCACATAAGGGAGTAGGTAATAGGGGAGAGGGTGTCTTAAATACATTGGTGGATGGTGGTTACGTCTTATTTGCCTGTTTGGGGACCCTGTCGAGATGCGACTAGTAAATTATTTGTTGTACTTTTACCATTGGATCAATCTCATTATTAAAAACTGGATCATTGGGTAATGCAATTCAAGACTTTTTATTGGCTTAGCCATTATAGTATGTGAGCCAATTACCCTGCTGGCAGAGGCGTTTATTTGTTAACTTCCCCTACGGTCCACGTAAAAATAAAGTCCTCTGCGCTCGGCCTATTAAATCTTCTTCGCGCATGCGCGGCCTGTTTCTTAGAAACAAATTAGTTCCCGGTAGTACTCGGCCAACTATATAGCTAAATAGGATACGTGCCCATAAAAACGTGTTTAAAACAGGTTCTGTCCGGTTTTGCAAATCAGATTATCCACAAACTTGGATAATTCCCAGGCGCATGCTCGAAGAAGATTTAACAGGCCGAGCGAAGAGGACTTTATTTTTACGTGGACCATAGGGGAAGTTAACAAATAAACGCCTCTGCCAGCAGGGTAGTGAGCCAATATACCATAATCTAATATCTGTACATTGTAACATCCGGTTTCTTCTTACAAAATAAAGTCGAAAAGATTTGTGTAGCATCTTGGGGGCTTTTTTTTTTTTTTTTTTTAATGAAACAATTATTCCACCCGCGCTTGTTGGAGATGAGATGATTATAGCCAACGAGGCGCGTAGCGCCGAGTTGGCTATCTATCATCTCATCTCCAACAAGCGCGAGTGGAATAATTGTTAATTGTCTGAGCAATTGTGCACCCACCCCTCCCCTAACCCATCATGAACCCTGACCTGACTTAAGTTAATTGTTGGGTGAGGGGTAGGTATGCAGTTGCTCTGATACTCACATCGACCCGAAGGCACACCTCGCCTTGGCTCGACGTAAAACCGTGGTAAAATCCCCTTTCACTTCGACCTTCAAGACTAACTCCGCAAAGAACTTGTTTTCCAGTTGCATACATTTATAGAAAATGGTTTTCATTTATTGTTTTTGTTTGTTTTCCGCAGGTTATTTCTCAGAGCGTGCGGCAAGTATTCCCAGAAGTGGGCGTATCGCCAGGTAAGCGCTTATGAAACCAATGTTGCCAGGGTTTCCTGATGTCATTGACTTTTTTTTTCGAAAAGACAAACCTTCCAGGGTGGGGAAGGGCAAACAAGACCACCCCTCCTTGTAAGTATAGCTCGTTACTAGAAGTGCTATAGTTCAAGGCGTTTTGAACTTTTTCCCTGTTCGATTTATCTTCAGGACTTATGATAGCAAACACAGATACCAAGTATTACCTAGATTTGACAGATGCTGTCTACAGATTTATGCCATCAGTTTTGACACCCGAGGATACCAAGCGAATTCATGGATTTAATGAAAGAATCGGAGTGAAGAATTATGAAAAGACAATTAATTACTTTTATCACGTGATGATAAATGCTGATGCCGCCAGGTTAGACACAGATACGCAACATACTGAACTATAATATATACTTCTGGAGATTTTGGGAAGCTTCTGACCTGCTCTGCAGACGTAATTTTGATGAGTGAGTGCTCAAATTTATGGCCGTCTTCTTTGATATTAATGAAATCGGAAGGCTAGAGAGAGAAATAAATTTGTACCAGGGGGGTGAGTAACAGTAAAAAATAATGAGGGGGTGAGGGTGGGGGAGTTTCCTCCTATCTTGTTCCTTGCCCAACATCGACTCTAACTTCAAATTAAACATGTCCGGTTGAATAAACCTTCGCGCACTTCCTAACAAGTCGCCTGTTTACAGTCTAGGAAGCTTTTGGAACACAAAGCGAATCCGTGCTGTTATATCTGAATTTGTTAACCAAGAAAAAAAATCAAATTCTCAAATAATGATTTCATATCTATGAAGAAAATATTTTTATTTGCATTTGCATTGTTTGGCAAGTTTCCTAACTAAATTAGTAATTTTAAATACCGCCCATAAGTGTTTTTCAAAAGGTGGTTTGAAGTACATATCTGTACATTTATCACTTTCACGGGTTTATTACGAATCAACTTAACGGCCTGCTCCCAGTTGGCTTGTTAGCTCAATTAGTAGAGCGCTGCACTAGTATCGCAGAGGTCAGTGGTTCGAATTCCGTACAGGCCTGATTTTTTTTTTTAGGTCTGATTTTTGCTATTGCTTAAATAGCGCTATCTACTGCGAGGATCGTGCATCATACGTATATATGTACTAGTGGTGTACATGTACCTATGGGATGAAACTCTCACGTCAGTAGGTCAGAGAGAGGCAACTTCCATAGTTGTTTCTCTAGGCTCCTGTTTTAGTGTCTGACGGCACCAATCACAGCCATGACACAGGTAATGAGCCCCTACTTATATGAAATTGACACTCACCTCACTGTTGATGAAAGTGGAGAATACACGAGGCTGTACTCCAAGGAAAATTGAATGGAGCCCAGTGCTTTGAAACCATGAAATCCAGGGTGCGCTGCATATGCTTTGTATGAAAAAAACTAAAATTCCCGAGTTGCCCAAGAGCAAAAGTAAGGCGCCAGGCGCCACCAGGCACTAGACCACAGCCTTGATACATGCAGTTACCTCCACTTTGGCAAATATTTGTTAACTATGCATTTTTAACTTATTTAGCCAAGAATCAGATCAGATATTTATGATATCTATTTGTAATTGTATTTATGATTGTACAGAACCTGCAAAATCTGGAAAGGTTGCATTGATATTCACACTTCATGCTTAAATAATCAAAGAATTATCACTCAAAGTTCTTGTTTTTGTATCCAATTTTATTAAATACAAAGAAAAAGTGTTTTACAGTTGTGGATGAAGTAAAAATTTTGAACTTATTGAGCCAGCCTAGGATTCCTGTAGTTTACTTTTAACATTGTTGGCACTCCACCAAATCAACAAAGCTGCGACAACAGCGATAAACTCTGTTTGTACATATAATCCTTCACGGCCAGCTCCCTAAAAACAGTTAATTAACTTTGAATTAAACTTCAAGAAACAAATCAACATTTTAAAGGGCCATGCCACAATATTTTCTGTTATGTTCTGCCAAATGTACGGTTACCCTCTACATGTGGGTAACCAAAAACTGTTGGTTGGATAGAATGGGAAAACAAGTAAAGAAGAGAATGTAAATAAAAAACAACTGTGCCTAGATCCCTTTCCCCAGTCATAAAAACAGAAGACAATTGCACAACTTAGCGAACAGAACTAAACCTAAAAGGGGAGGCAGGCGATAATGTGTTTCCATGTTTCAAGCATAGATTAATTGTCTCACAGACTAGAATAGAGTGAGAAAGTGAGTGAATTATACGTCCATACCTAAACCTCATTGTACAGTATGGCTAATATAATACCACAAGGTAAAAAGAACAAGTCTAATTGTGAATGACAAAGATTTTTTGGTAACCAAATTGAAAGTCTTGGCTAAAATTTTCACACTACAAAGTACTTGGGGTGAACCTTCCCAAAGACATCTCAGAACTTCTTAGAGGATAAAACGTCTAATCATGATTTGCATCATGGTAGCGATTATGTTCATCACAAAGGTCTTTGGGAAGTTAGACACTCTTCTACAGAATCTTTTGCTTCTTTAAAGAAACCAAGAGAACAAGATCATAAAATGGTACAAAAACAATGAATGTGAAAGCAGTCCTCACCCGATGATTAACATCAATGGAGAACAAGGCCTTGGCTTCACTTGGTGTACCACTTCTCTGTGCCTAAAAGCAAATTGCGTGTGATGAGAACATGTTGGTAGCATGCTACATATGATAACATTTCATCATTTGTTTCTGATTACTGTGTCTGATTATCAAAGAGCAGGTCACAGATATCAGACTTCCGGTATATTTTGTAATCATCTTTCTCATTGGATTGACAGATAATAATACAAGTCATCATTTACTGGACTGCCCTTTGAAATGCTTAACTCTTCAACTCCCAAGATCTGATTGTTTTAAAATTCTCCCCTCTAGCTGCTATATATTTCCTTGTAAGTTCGTTATGAGAATTTGGTGTTAAATCAAGATAACAACTTTAGCTGATAAGTTTGAGTATTCTCATTACCTTTTTGCTGAATTATGTATGGGATACTATAGGGAGAAGTTACATGTTAATCACTTCTGGGAGATAAAGGGTTAACATCTGTAAGTTGGGTGAGAATCCTTGTTATAATAAATTTAACAGAGTTAACAAAAGAGACCAGGAAAAAAAAAGGAAAACAAAACAATATTAGAGCGCTGCACTAGTATCCAAGAGGTCAGTGGTTCGAATCACGTACAGGCCTGATTTTTTTCAGGTCTGATTTTCGCTATTGCATAAATAGCGCTCTCTACTGCGAGGATCGTGCATCATACGTAAAACCATATGAGTACCTACTACACTATCAAGGACAGGAAACAGAAGGCATGAAAGTTTCTTGCATAAACAGCACACAGATTTCTGTGACAATTTGCTTCATGTGCTATGGTCTAGAAATTCTTTGCCCCCAAAAAACATTGTTCTTCAAAAGTAATTGACAGAATTCAAACTGGTTCAAAATCATGCATATCCAAAGTACAGTTGTACATCCTCACAGTAAATAATAAGATTTATAGCAAACTACTTGAAAGCAGTACAGGAGATGAGGGGGGTGGTCTGTCACAGAGATCTAATGTGATGACTAACTGCCCAGGGGGGGTGGTCTGTCACAGAGATCTAATGTGATGACTAACTGCCCAGTGTTACCCAACATTAACAGGGCTGTGGTCTAGTAGTGTACGATGACCCCTGACACCTTACTTTTGCTCTTGGGTGACTCAGGTGTCTTCGTTTTTCATAAAATGCATATGCTGGACACCCTGGATTTCAGAGTCTCAGAGCACTGAGCCTCCTTCAATTTTTCTTAGAGCACAGTGTACCTTTCTATACGCTGCATATCCCTCATCATCATAGAAACTCAATTTGTAGACACCCGCTTTGGCTTCTTTGTGTGACTCTGCCCAGCTGACCTATGAATAAACATGATAAAATTCAAGTTGATGCATCATTGAAGTAGATTTATATATATAAAAAAAAGAAAAATTGAGTCTTCCAAAGACATATCAGAACATGCAATGGTGTAATCATTTGTACATGAACTGTACATTAGGGTAGCTGATTCACATTCATCATGCTTGTCTTTGGAAAGATTATCAAACCAAGAATCATTCAAGGCATTTGCTTCACTGGAATTTAGCTTATTAGTTGTTGTAAAAAAATGAAAAATAAGAACCAGCAGGACATTCAGTCCTCAAGGTTTTGAGAGCTGAGCTGGGAATCAAAACAAGGTCACATGAGATGGAAGTGCTCCACCTTGGCTCCCTGAATTTCATTTAAAACTACCACTGAACCAAGATTAAGGAAGGCCCAATGGTCTGAAGGCTGGCACTCTGGACTCAATGTCTAGAGGACTGAGCTTGCAACCTAGCTGGATCTTGTCTTGTGTTCTTACATGAGACCCAGTACTCTTAAAATGCTTCCCTCCCACCCAGAAGTGTGAATGAGTACATAGCAGCTACAAGTAACTCAGGGAAACCTGATGAAATACCAGCATCTCATCCAAGGGAAACAAAATGAAGCAATACAGCTGTTCCTCTTGTCCCTCCATGCCATGAAGACTGGAATAAGCACTGGTACCATTTGGCACGCATATATGGCACACATATATGTAGAGTCAGCTTTTGTACCCAAGACAACATTCTAGTCTCTTGAGGCAATAATGGTTTTGCTATAATTGCTACTTTAAGGCACATGCAGCAAGCATAAAGCATAAGGTAAAAATCCAGAAATGCAAATGTTATCATAGTGTACTTTATTCTTGGGAGCAATTTGTTCACTCTAGAGTACATTACGTATGTAATTCCCTGCTAATTTCACTTTGATCATTCTGAAATCAAATACAATTTTAATTACAAACCTGGTATGATGCATCATCAGTGGATCTTGTGACTGGCATAACTTTTCCATTTACTTCAGCATACAGGTTTACATCCTGCTCACATAAAAAAAAAAACAAAACAAAACAAAACAAAGTATAAATTTTTTGTACTTGCATCAACAGAGTAAAACTATTCAGTTTGCTTATTAAGAAAGGTCTAGTGAACTATGAAGACACAATGATTCCCTAGACTTTCAGCTTAAGGAAAAATTACTGGCGAACAACAAAGAGGCTGATTCACATGGATCATACAAATCGTTGGAAATATATTGGAGGTTTCTTAATCTATTGAGCAGTGAACCACTTTCAATGACATGATTTTAAGTTCTACGTTGCACGAGTACACACCTTTGCACCATTCTCACATTTGAGGGAAAACTCAACAATGAACACACTTTCTGATGACAGTAAAATGTTCCTTGTGGTATAGATGTCTGTGGTTGGTTTTGCTCCAACACATGTATCCCCTTAAATGAAAATCAACGTGAATTTAGAATACTGAGAAGACATTCTGTGACACACAAAAGACATTTCATCCACTGATACTTTTATTAGTTTTTCTAGCTAGAGATCGTGCTCGCCATTCTTCAAATAAAGTAACACGCCGCTGAATTTTACAAAACGATGCAGATGGCAGAAGGTGTCAAGGAATAACTGTCATGCGTCTGGTAAAAACTGGGAGATTTACATCTAAAAGCACTCGAGAAAAGTTCTAAGTACATTGACCAATGAATGGCTGCCTCGTGTGGCGAAAAAACATTTTTGAAGATTCCTCATATCTATTTCCCGGTGGAAGCTTTCAACCACGTCTTCAACTTAGAAGATACATTGAACGTTTACTTAAAGTTAACTTCAGCTTACCTGACGAGTTCAGAGGCGCAAAAACAGCTAAAATTGCAAGGACAAAGAACAATGCGGCCATATTGATCCCGTCCACGTTCGAAGAGAAGAAGCAGGGTGATCACGTGGCTTTGTAAGCTGCGACCAGAAACATACCAACCAGCGGTTACCTTCCTGAGAGTTTAAAATGAAAGTCAAACGAGTGAAGCATGCAAGGAGATATCTAACTTTGTTCAAAAATTCCTTTGGAATATTTGAACCTTATCAAATTTTAGGTGAGAGGAATTGTTAACCACATTTTCTTTTCTAAACCACCTCAGTTTGGAGTCAATGGAGGGCTTCTGCGTGTTTTAAACACCGGTTTTATGTGACTTCCGGCCGTTTTATTTGTCGGCCATGCTTCGAAGTGTAATTTCATTTCGGTGTTGTTCTGTCTTCAGTTGATGGCACTTTCTGTCAAGCAGCATTGCAGACCAAGATAAACATCAAGGAACAGCTTCCCAAATACTTGGATGGATCGGTTCAGTTATGTATCCTTTCTTCATGAAGGTTCAAAATTACTGTGCACTCGTTCAAATGAATAGTTAACAATTATTCCACGAGTGCGCGTTGGATATGAGATGATAGATAGCCAACGAGGCGCGTAGCGCCG